TTCTGTCAGGCAAGAGGGTTCTGAACCGAGTCCTTCCAGGAGCAGATACCGGTATATWTTTTTTTTTTTTTTTTAAGTTGTAGTTGACACAATATCTTTACTTTATTTATTTATTTTTATGTGGTGCTAAGCATTGAACCCAGAGCATCACACGTGCTAGGCAAGTGCTCTACCTCTGAGCCACAACCCCAGCCCCAGATACTGGCATATTAATTGGTATATTTGTAACCCAGGGAACAAGGAAGCATTAAAAAAAGGATCCTTATAGTGGATCTTATTTATTTTTTCACACAATTAAATCAATGAAATCTCATCTTCAAAATTTTTGTAAAATAATTTGCCAGATCAAAAATTACTAGGCAAATAGACTTCTGCTAAATATAATTTAGCAGAAATTAAATTTAATTTAAATTTAATTTAAATTCCCCAAGTAACAGGATATTTATTTTATTTTATTTTTTAGTTGTAGATAGACACAATATCTTTATTTTATATATTTATTTTTATGTGGTGCTGAGGGTCGAACCCAGTGCCTCATGCGTGTGAGGTAAGCGCTCTACCACTGAGCTAYAACCCCAGCCCCGTAACAGGGTATTTTAATATATAAAACAGAGATGTTTTCTATCTAAAAAACCCATAGCATTTCTAGCTATTTAAGGAATATCACTTTTAAGTGACAATACTTCCAATGAATATATAAAACACAAACGTAAAATGGATCTCCTATAAAATCTATGTTTAACTCTTGCTTTTTCAGCTGTTTGTCTCTACATCATTACYTCTTTTCTGAAAAACTTCACAGAGCTATAAGAAGGCAATGTTGGATTTACAATTATACATAATAGGATTAGGAAGAATTTCTATTCAGGAAGTAAGTTTCTGGGAAAAGAAAATACTCACTAGAATTTCAAGATACTCTATTAGGGCTGAGGTATTTCTCGGTGATAGAGCACTTGCCTAGCATACATTAAAGCTCTGGGGTGACCCACACACAAAAAAAGATAGTCTAGTAAATGGAAATATTCCTGCTTAATAGTGTCTTTTTTTTTCTTGGCTGTTATTACTAAAAATGTGTGAGGTAATTTTTTTTTTGTTTTTTGTTTTTTAAAGGACTTGAAAGTGATAAATAGTATCTTTGTTTCTAGACCAAAAAGATTTGTATATATAGTCACTTTCTAGGGAATGAAAAAAATAATCTTGAACAATAATGTCAATAATTTAGCTTCTGAATCTAAAGATGTTGCTGTTGATATACATATTATTTCTATTGACATGTGCCAAACCCATTTATAACACCTACCTATTTAAAAACTTAGCAACAAAAAGCAGATAAAGCTAAACTTACAGATTATACACTGTTTTTTTTTTCTTTTCATTTTTAATGTTAAAAGCAGAATGGGGGCTGGAGGTATAGCTCAACAGTACAGTGCTTGCCTAGTGTGCCTAAGCCCTAGGTTCAATTCCCAGCATGAGAGAGAGAGAGAGAGAGAGAGAGAGAGAGAGAGAGAGAGAGAGAGAGAGAGAGAGAGAGAGAGANAAAGACTAATCTTAAGGGATAATATGACATTAATAAACATTAGAGAAAAAAAATATGACTGACTTGAAAAGTTTTTTTTGTTTGTTTGTTTTGTGTGTGAATATGTATAAGTTGGGTTTTATAAAACACAAAACTCTCTGATTCTTCCCACATAATTGACAACCATCATTTATTGTTACTGGCTGTTTTTCTTTTCCTCTTAAAATAACTTAGGGATGAAATGAATATTTTCTAATTTAGGAAATGACAACTATTCTAATCATTGCTTTAATACCAGGCTTATGATATAAAAGTTATACCTTTAAACTATAAAATAAAACATAAAATGAGAGTCTACAAAAATCCAAAAGAACTCAAAGTTATATCAAATGGTCATAATTTTCTCTTTCTAAAACACTGCCAAATGAACTCTGTAGAATATGTACTCTTCACAGTTCAAATGTAATACCTTATCACACACTGACTCTATCACATACTACAAGATGTAGGCAAAGTTTAGGTGCCAAAAATGTAAGTCCTATCTCATGTCAAAAAGATGTTTTAAAGATATCTAGATTCACTAATTACAGGGTTAGAAAAACTACTCAGGTTTGACCACTTCACAAGTCACTAAATAACCTTTCAGTTTTCATTAAATAGCAAATGCAAAGTGGGGTCTCCTGAAGAAACCCTACAAAGAGGTTATTCAAATGACAGAAGAGACCCAAAACAGAAGCATAAAAGGACAAGGTTATCTGATGAAGCACCAACTGTCAGAGGGAATGCTCAGTAACATAGGAATGAGACACATTTGGGGAACCTATCATCACAGAAACTTAGGAGCCTGAATTCCACTTTTTATTCACTCATTTATTTACTTTTTTCAGTGCTGGAGATTGAACCCAGGGCCTTACACATGCTAAACAAATGCTCTACCACTGAGCTACATCTCCAGCCCCTTAAATTCGATTTTTTAATGTTGTCATTAGGCAAAAAAAATAATTACATAATAAACATTAGATAAAGATTTATTGAATAACAATTTCTTTTTTGTCCTTTCAATCTACTCACAGGGCATATTATAACTATTATCATTTGGTTGACTGATAAACAGTCATAAAAATACATTTCCATACAATAATGTTATTGGTATTATGATATTCTTCAGGCTAAAGTGTTAAGAATCAGTTCCTCTTGAGATCAAGAAACTGAAGTAGAAGCTGGGCATGGTGGTGTACTCAGGAGGCTAAGGTAGGGATGATCTCAAGTGGTTCAAGGACAGCCTTGCAACTTAGTGAGATCCTGTCTCAAATAAAATAAAATTAAAAGGTCTGGGGATGCAGCTCAGTGGAAGAGTACCCATGAGTTCAATCTCTAGTATCTCAAAGAAGAAAAGAAGAAACAAGTAGAATAGACAGCTGGATTTTTGGAGAGGAAAGCACATTCCATGGCAAAAAGCTGCTCCGGAAATACCAGCTTACTTTCAGACACACAGAGCAAATAATAACCAAAACTGGTTTTCTGCGGACTATATACATCCCTTAGAAGCTAAATATGACTTAGAGACATTTGCTTTCTTTTTATTTAATGGTCAGTGTCTTTATTTTGTGGCACAGAATGATTACTAACTCTGGGTTATAGAGAGCACCAGGCATCATTATTCTTTTTGTGCCTAGTTACCCAAAGTAGAGTCCCAAACCAATAGAATTGGCATCACCCAGGAATTAGTTAGAAGTGCAGAATCACAAATCCTACCCCAGACCTACTCAACAAGCAGCTATAATTTAACAAGATTCCCAGGAGGTTGAAAAGCACTGCTCTAATGGACAGAACATTTGAGCAAATCACAAGACCCAAGTTCAAGCCTCAGATCCATGATTTAGCAGGGTTCAAAAATGGACAAGGGCAAGAAAGTAGTTTGGGTTTTGGGGGGCGGTTTTAAAATTTTTTTTAACTGAGTTTCCTCAACTATAAACTAGGATTTTATATATATACACATGTACCAAACAGGGTGGTTTCAAGGATCAAATAAAATGATGGATGTTCTTTGTAAATTATCAAGCACTATAAAATCACAAAACCCTATTGCTAATTACAAATACAGCTTAATTACACCTGTCCTCATTTGATCTCTCATAAACCATCAGAGACATGTAATTAAATTATACTTATCATTATGATAAAAGGCTTTTTCATGTGATACAAACCTTTCAAGCCCTAACCATAAGGTAGCTAAATCTCTGTTTTTGTCAAAGCTAATTTCAAGTGGGCCTCCTAGAGGAAGACTCTTATATGTTAACACTGATATTATCTTGCCCTAAACATCTGATTTGCCCTTTGGGGGCTTTACTATAATTTCCAAGACAACAAATGAACTAGTTTAAGCCACTACCAAGCCTGAAAACTGAATTCCTTGAAAAGGCTGCCTTTTGCTACAGTCCTTGGCTTTTTTGGCCCATTAAACAATAGCCCCATTTTCTTCAAAGCACAGAACATGGCTACATAAGGGTGTTAAGTGAAGAAGCCAATGCTCCAGCTTTCTCCCTAATGCTCCTTACCATAAGGAAAGGCCCGTGAATCTTAAAAAATGAGAATTTCCTAATCTGCATCCACAGGTTAGTTAACACTTTTTTCTTGCACATCAAATGAATGTCAAGGAGCTTCTTATAACCAGAGCTTTGTTATTCAAACTTGGTTGCCTTTAAAAATGAAAATCTACTAACAGATCAATTTATTCATGAGTTAGTTACTACCAAACCTTGGAAATCAATTTGCATAATAAAATGCTAAAGCCATTAGCATTAGAGCTGGTACCTTCAACTGGCTTTCCAGCTGTGCACCCAAATCCTTTCCAAAGACCGCAACTTCCCTCTCCTGTCTGAGGTGGGTCTGCAGCCCCTGTTCCCACTGTTATCACTCATGCCACTGAGAATCTTATTGAGAATTCAGACTCCATGCAGGGGAACAGAAAAGGATTAACACATGCAACTGTGCAGCATCACTTTTAGACACAGTTTAACTTAAAAAGAAAAAAAAAAAAGATCTGCCCAGCACAAGAACAATCCCCGTCAGCCCAAGAGCAGAGAATTAGTACTATCAGGTGATCAGAAACAAAACCAAGGCAAACTCCCACCAAATTCAATATTCAGAGTAATTATTAAAAGGATCACTACTGATTCAAAAATCACTACCCAAACGGCAAAGGTACCAGAAAAATTCTCACTATTTGAGACTGTGATAGAAAAAGCCCCTGATTGTGATAGAAGTAAAGATTTGACTTTAAGACATAAAAGGCACAAAATAGTACCTCTATGAACAGTTGTTCAGGCTAAAGTTGCCAGGAGATTTAAGTTAGTCCTCCATTAAGAAAATGAAAGAAGAGTGTGTGATACAATGAGAGCCACAAAAGCTCCTCAGTGGGCACAGGGAAGGTGTGGAGCAGCTACCCTTTCCTAATGCTAGCAGATTCAGGACAGATTCCTACCAGTCTTTGCTGCTCCAAGAGAAGATCTGCTTCTTCCTTTTCCTTTTTGTATAGGATCTCCATCTCTTGTAACCTAAAAGGAAAAAATAAAAGTATATAACAAGAAAGAATAAATTATGAAATYACTGAGTGGCTTCACAAATGTATTATTGTTGAAGAGAAAGTCATGTGGGCCATATATTTGTGGATTACCTTTTCTCCATCTCCTGTTTCATATCAATTCCTTGTTTCTCCAGAAGCTCTCTCTGGGCAAAAGTCCAGTCCACAGGCTCAGATGGGGTCTCAGCTGAGGGAGTCTTCTCCCGCTCAGCCCGTGCTTGTTCCGGATGATTAAAACGAAAAACGTGGTTTTTACCCATGATGATGCGGTTTCCTAGCACAAAACAGAAATAGGGTTAAGAAATCATTTTTAAATTTTTTAAAATTTTACTTTCATTTTTTAAAGAAATAATTTTTAAAATGTGTAGTTTCTAGTTTAATAACCCCACTTCCTTAAAGCTTCTGACATTTTACAAGAACATAATTCTAGTGCCAACAATAATAGAGTCAAAAGTGAGAGTAGCAGGCTGGGGATGTGGCTCAGTAGTGGAGAGCTTGCCTAGCACACATGAGGCTCTCTGGGTTCAATCCTCAACACCACAAAAAATAAAAATTAGAAAGAAAAAGAAAAATCTGAGAGTTGCTCACACAAGCCATCTGCACACTGCTGAAGACTTCAAACCTCTCCCAGTCTCACCTGAGCGCAACTGAACAGGCTGGGTCACCCTTTTGCCATTCACGTAGGTTTCTGAGCGCTCACAGGGCTCCAGGGTTACAATAACTAGGAGGAACACAAACTGATGTTATCACCACAAACCAATGTAATTACTAATGGAAAACAATTGATCATCAGGACTTATGGTAATTAGAATAGACTCCTACAACCAATCAAGTGGCTAAAGCATCTATAAGGTACTTCTTTTTGGGTATAATTAGTTGTAACACTAGAAGTTGTTTGGAGCTAAGACAGAAGTATTAAACTAAATTTTATCAACCTCTGAAGAAGATAGGAAATATTAGTTTCAACAATATTCTGACAGTTCAGTCAATAAAACAAAAAACCAGTAGAAATGTTATGTTTGAGATGCAGGTAATAACCAGAAACTCAAGACTAAAAGCTAATATTTTAGTTAAGGGAAGAAGCCAGAATACCAACACAAAAATACCATTAGATTATTGCTGTTTTGTTAATAGCCCAGGCAAAAATCAGATCAACTTTTTCTCCCCTATGGATGGATGRATGAATGGATGGATGGAAGAAAGACAGAGAGAGAAAGAAAAAAGAAAAGAAAATCTACTCAGCTATGACTTGAAGTTCTTCAAATCTCCTATTATCCTGGATATTTACTCTTCTCTTACTTTTCTATTAAATAATTAACATTCAAGACCAAGCCTAACTGCTTATGTCCTGCTCAGTTCTTGGCAGTAACAAAAGGGCTCCTTTTGTCCATGCTATTTTCATGTAAAGTAGCTATGTCCTTTCCCGAATTTATAAGCATCCCAGCTTCCTCCATATTTCAGAATAAGATTATATAACAAGTACCACTAACAGAGACAGGGAATACCAAGTCTTAAGGACTTCTCATACTATAGAATAAAAAATTACAGAAGAAACTCAAACCAGGAACTCTCACCTTCACCACTGTTGTTTCTCTCACTCCGGAAGATACAATGCTCCTCTTTAATGTGGGCCCCACTCAGTACTATGTCCTGGCGCCGCTCAGCATCTGCTTGGCCAACCCTGAACACAAGAGAAAGTGTTTCCCAGGGAAATTCAGACACAAAAAGCACTTAGAAACAATGAACCTCTTTCTCCCAAAGAATATGCTTTGGAATGTACAAGAAAACCTATTGCTTTTTTTCTTTCCAAAGCTTTCAATTGCAAATTCTATTCTCTTGTATAATGAACCTCCTTACATGAGAATAAGAAACTAGGGAAAACCATACACCAATATAACTTGTACAGCACAATAAATATATGAGCAAACTAAACTCCTGAATGAATTCATACAAGGTGTTAAAAGGAAAAGTTTCATTTAGGGTCTTCTAGAGAAAAACTGTTAGCTGTTTCCACTTGCATACATCATTTTGAAAGAGTAAAGTTCATAATGGTTTCAGATACGATAAACAGCAAATCATTCCAAAAATTGTTTTTCAAAGAACAATCACCTAGGGAAAAAAGAAAACATTAAGTGACCAAAATCAGACACCAATATACCTTGTAATTCCATCTTTGATGTAATAAAGCAGGCATTCGGACATTAGTGGGTCTTCATTAAGATTAACAAGATGTGGGGTCTGAAAAAAAATTACAGATTATCAGTTTGGAGAAAGGCACCATAAGAAGGGATATAGTAACAACAGGAGCCCACAGGAGGCCAGGCTTCTCAGATTTCCCCACATAGTCTGAAGAAGATCTTTCATTACTAGTTCTAAAGCTATAATAAAGAGAAAACACTCTCTTCAGGCCTCCCTATACCACACCCATGCATTCTATTACATGAGTTCTGGGATAAAGAAGAACACCCAGTTCTTAGGGTCAAAGCATAGTGAACACAAAGAAAAAAAATCAAAACAGAATGATTCTCTGGGTGGGTTAATTACAATCTTTGTAACTGCATGGGCAAAAACTGCAAAAGATTTAATTTTTCATTTACTTTTATTCAAATTTACCCCATCCCCTGCCACCTCCTATAATTAACATCAGTTCTTCCATGCTCCCAGTTATTGTCTTTACTTTATTTCTCTTTACCTTAAAAAAACATGTAAAAACTGAAATTTCTAAAATTCAATAATAACACCTTCTAAAAATTCTTTTCAACTAACTCTAATGTTTCTAAAATGTTTTAAAAACCAACCTTCTTTGGTGAAAAGACCCCACTGGAATCCAAAAATATGTCACATGGCCTCGGGGTCAAAATCTACTCAAGAGTGTGCCAGCAAATTAGGAAAAATGAAAAAAGAGTCAGATGACAAGGTAAAGAAAAGGATTGCCAAAGATGGTTAAAAGGAAACTGGAAAACCTCTCTCCATCTCCACTACCATCCACCTCTGTGCTTAAGAACCGGGCTTGTTTGAGAGAGTCTAAGCCCTCTGTGGGTAGCATTCTTTAAGTCTCCTCTTTGGACTAAGAAAAAGAAATTATCAGAAACAGGTTTTAAAATTATGTTTGGAGGGGCTGGGGTTGTGGCTCAGTGGTAGAGCAATTGCCTAGCATATGTGAGGCACTGGGTTCGATTCTCAACACTGCATTTAAATAAATGAATAAAATAAAGGTCCATCAACATCTAAAAATTTATTTTTTAAAAAAACTAAATTTGGAGGTGGTCAATGGTCTCTCCCTCCCTTTCCTGAGGAAACGAAGAAAGTTAAAGCAAGGTAGGCAAGAAAATGCTTTGGAAGTAGAGATGTCTTTGGAATCTTTTATTGTTTATATCACAATATTTGTTCAAGTTATTGATGTTTCACATTAAATATCATAAGTTTTATAAGTTGTTACAAAAAATTTCCCCACAATTTTTTTGGTGATACTGGGAATGAAATCCTTAGCCATGCATATACTAGGCAAGTGCCCTACCACCAAGCTAGTCCCTCCCCTCAGTTTTTTTTTCAAACTTTTATTTATTTATTTGTATTTATTTATTTGTTTGTTTGTTTTTATGTGGTGTGGAGGATCGAACCCAGTGCCTCAGGCATGTTAAGCAAGCGCTTTACCAATGAGCCACAGCCCCATCCCATATTTTATTTATTTTTATGTGGTGCTGAGAAACAAATCTAGTGCCTCACACATGCTAGGAGAGCACTCTACCACTGAGCCACAACCCCAGCCCCTCTCCCCTCAGTTTTTAACACTACAAGATATTATGAAATACCTTTAGATATATACACAATCGAAATGCTATCAAAACTGTAACTGCTAAAATATCTACCATTATAAGTAATATATCTGAATAAATACATGTGTTACTGAAGGGAAAAGTAATAAAAACACTAATATTTATATAAACATACAAAATACTTATTGCTCTAGTTTTATAATATGTGTGTGTATATATATATTTTTTTCCAGTTGTTCATGAACCTTTATTTATTTATATGTGATACTGAGAATCAAACCCAGTGCGTCACACATGCTAGGCAAGTACTCTAGCACTGAGCCACAACCCCAGCCCCTCTAAATTATCTTTATTTTTTTAATACTTTTTTAGTTGTTGACAGACCTTTATTTTTATTTTATTTATATGTGGTGCTGAGAATTGAACCCAGTGCCTCACGCATGCTAGGCAAGCCCRCTACCACTGAGCTACAAACTCAGCCCTCTAAATTATCTTTAAATCAATCGTATTTTAATTTTTTTAAATTGTCAATGGAAATTTATTTTATTTATTTATATACAGTGCTGAGAATCAAACACAGGGCCTCACACATGTTGGGCAAGCACTCTACCACTGAGCCACAACCCCTGTTCTAATTCAATCTTTTTTGTTGAAAAATGACACATTGGAATTTGTAAAAATGTTATTTATGTGACCATGATAAAAAAAAACTAACCAGAAGAATCCTCACAAAAATCACAATAATGTCTCCAACTGTGAGACATAAAAGAAAAGTACCAATTCAAAATTCCCTCCTTCTTCTACTCTAACCTAAAGAGATCTCTGTTCCAAAACTATGTGTAAAGATGTCTAAAAGTCTTAATTGGCTAGTTTGAGGTCATTTGAAATGAAGGGCCATTCTTTTTGTATATATATTTAGTTGTATATTGACACAATATCTTTATTTTTATTTATTTATTTTTGTGTGGTGCTAAGGATCGAACCCAGTGTCTCATGTGTAGGGCAAGTGCTCTACCACTGACCTACAACCCCAGCACTGAATGGCCATTCTTTAGTGGTATGAAATATATGCTTTGTACATCAATGTAGATGTTCCATCATTGTCACATAAACAAGTACATAAAAGAATCTTATGGTATTGGTTTTCCAGTATCGAACAGTAACTAAGTAGCAACTAATATGAAAAAACAAACAACAAAAAAGACAACTTACAAATCTAATTAGTTAAAGGTATCAAACTACTCTACAACTATGATTATGGAGTTAGGAAAGTAACTACTGAAATCTTAAGAAAATCGAAGGGGAAAAAGAAAGAAAACAAAGAAGGGAGAAAAGAAGTCTCAAAGGATAAGGGCTGGAACTGCTTTACTCAGTATAATGGTTATAAATAATATAAATCACTGGAGCAGTATTTTTCTACACAAACCTGAACAGTTGAAATTGGTTCCAAAAAATTATAGAGCAGAGTTGATGACTTCTGTGGGGGAAACGTACATAGAAAGAGTAGCCAAACTGAAGCACAGTGTGCAAGATTACATTGGAAATTTGAAAGAAAGCAACAATGAAGACAACCAAAAGGTACAGATTTGTGGCCTCTTGAGTGGTTTTTTTTTTTTTTTTTTTGTAAACAGGATAGGTATTTTGTAAACAGAGTGCCCTTGTCTTTTAATACCATACTATGAAATGAAATCATAAATTTCTGAAATTATTCCAAATAACAAGATAAAAAAGAGGAGGAGTAAAGATCAGCATTGAAAGACAAAGTAACCACTCACCAATTCAGTGTTTTTCTCTCTCTTTTGGGTACTGAAGTTTGAACCCAGGGGCGCCTTACCACTGAGCCACACCCCCAACCCTGTTTATTTTTTATTTTGAGACAGGGTCTCACTAAATTGCCTAGGGCTTCACTTAGTTGCCAAGGATGGCTTTGAACTTGTGATCCTCTTGCCTCAGCCTTCCAAGCCACTGGGATTATAGGCATACATCACCATTTCTGGCCCTTTCTCTCTCTCTCTCTCTCTCTTTTTTTTTTTTTTGGCAGAGTGAGGCACTGAATCCAGGGCTTTGAGCATCCTAGGCAAGTACTCTCCCACTAAGCTATAATTCCTAACCCCCAAGCAGAATTTATACATTGTTTCTTACCTTTTTAGGTGAGAAAACCCCTAGAGTTCCTCCATCTTCTCGAATGGCAACTCCCATCTCAGCCAACAAGGCCTCTCTGGAAAAAACAAGTTCAAGTAAATTAAATACTTATACCAAAATGTCAATTAAATCAGTCAGATAAAATGGAAAAATAAAGTTTGATAAAGTATATAAAGCAAAAAACAATTAGTCAAATCTAGAGTTGGTAATGCAAATATGGAATTATGTGCTTATCTCATCAATAATGAAAAATTATTTTTAAGACAAACAGCCCAAAGTAAATACTCCAGTATAAAAGTTCTAGTCACCAGATAACTGTCAGCCTGTAGCTCAAGGATGGAATGCTTGCCAAGCATGCACAAGGCCCTGGGTTCAACCTCCAGTATCACAAAAAAATAAAAAATAAAAAACAAAACAAAACAATCCTTTGCCTCATCTGATTTTGGAGACAGACAGAAATTCATAAACTCAAAGAAACACCCAGAATCTAAGGAAATGACTTGGATATATGGAATATGGTCTATAAATATGATTTTTCTCAAATGTTATTTATATACCCATGTCCACCATTCATTTTGATTCAGTAATTCTAGCTTAAAATCTCTAAAACAAATAAGAAAATTCTTATTTTTTGTTACATTTACTATATCAGTACATTAGAACTTGATCCCACCTCATCTTCTTGTGAAGGGGGAAGAAAGAAACTGATATTTTTTAAGTATATATTTATTCCAATAGCGAAAGTACCATTTTGGCTTATGCTCACCACTTTACAGTAGAAAAAGGATATAGTGAAAGACAGTGGTCAGAATAGCTCTTTGGATTTGGGCCTTTGTCAAAGGTAGTCTACTCTCTTCGAAGAAATACTCTTCCTCAATTTGTTCCATTTTTATGCCACAGCAACAGGTAGTATGGTAACTATTATGCACATGATTCCACTGGAAACCTTTAAAAATGTGGACTTCTCTTTAAAGTGTATATCTGCTGCAAGTACCAGCCCGATTGATAATCTGTCTTGTGTTTCAGGAGGGGAAGTTCTTTCCCCTCCTAGTATTAAGGATTATTCTAGGGGCACTCTACAACTGAGATACATCCCCAGCTCTTTTTATATTTTTTATTTTGAAACAGGGTCTAAGTTGCCCAGGCTGGTCTGGAACTTGCAATCCTCCTGTCTCAGCCTCCTTTCAGGTGTGCACCACCATACTAGGCTGTTTTTAACTTCCATTTCATCTTTTTTTTACAATAAAAGAAACCCAAATGCCCCAAAAAACTTAGAAACATTCCCAGATTTTAATCTCCTGACCTCTCCATTCTGATGGCCTCTGTTTTACGAAGCTTCTCCTCCCAGGTTTCATTCAACTCAGCAATGATCTTCTCTGATTCCTAAGAACGGAAGTACATAGTTAAAGTGGCAGTCTTTCAATATAATGTACCATGTTCAAGAAGGAAAGCAAAAAAAAAGATTGTGCCCTTTGAGGATATGGAGCTGAATGTAAAGTGATGAGGCTTTTTTCTTTTTTAACATGTAAGGTAAGAATGCTAAAGATTAGGCTAAAGATTATATGTCAGCCTCAAACATATAAATTCTCTAAGTTTTAATTAAAATACCTGTCTCCAGGTGTGGGCCTATGTACAGAAAGGTAATGCTAACATCCCAAAATACTTTTTCTGACAACCACTTCTACAAAAGAATAAAGTCTCCAAAGGTACTAATTGCTTTTGACTCACAATAATTTCATTGTAACATAATACCCTTCCCTGAAAGGAAGGATTTCTAATAACCAATATAGAAAGGCATAGTATTAAATCTCCTATAGCCCCTGAAGTGTCAATCACTTGCCAAGTACTCGTTACATCTTACAAATGTAAGAACTAAAACGTGTTTTCTGCTTTCTAACTATATCCTAAGRAGAGAGAGAAGTAATTGATAACTTAATTGATACTAATGTATAACCCTACTATATGCCAAGCCCTGTTCTAGGCAACTAGAGAATGTCAGGAACAAAATGCCTGCCTTCTTGAGACTTATATTCTAATAAAGACACCAAGATAATTTTGATCAATAAGTACACAGGGGGCTGGGGTTGTGACTCAGCAGTAGAGTGCTCTTCTAGCATGTGCGAGGCCCTGGGTTCAATCCTCTGCACCACATAAAAAAACAAAATAAATGTATTGTACAAATAAAAAAAAAAGTACATAGTATATCAAACCATAGTGTTCTGGAGTACAATAAAGCAAGGAAAAGAAAGAATGGGGAAGGGGAGGTGTGGATGCGATCTAAAGTGAGTCTATTCAGATAGGCCACTGGCTAGGTTCCACGTGAGCAGAGATAAGAGGAGCAGCAAAAGTTGCCACAAGAAGATGTGAGGAGGGACAACTGTGTGGCTACATGTCTGAGAACTGAGAATGGGTATGGTAGGAGCTAACAACAGTGTGCTAAGAACCAGAACGGAAGCACTCAGTTGTCTGTGAGAGAGGTGAACTGGGGATGAGTAATGCTCACATGGAGGAATGAAGAACAAGTAGGGTAGAGTGGAGGGAAAGGGGATTCAAAAAGGGGGAAAGAAACATACACAAAAGCAAATGTTAGTCATGAGGGCAAAAATCACAAAATCAGGTCATAATGATGATGATGACAGTTAATGTCAGTAATAGTAGTGATTAATGAGGACAAGTCTTACAGTCCACAAAATAAATCACGGTATGATTCATTTAATAGATTACTTTAAGAGATCCCAAAACATAATCATCTACATAAAAATAAACTATGAATAGTAAACACAATAAACTCTAAGGTGTCTAGAGTATGGTTTTCTGGAACTTCTGGGTTTCCAGAATAATTCCACCATTGGAATAATTAATTCCAATTAATATCAAAACCAAAAATACACCAAAGGCAAAAGAAAGGGAACACATAAAAAAGCCACAAGGAAAGACTCAAGCAGCAGCTACAGGAATTTCAGGAGTCAAGAGAAACAAACAGGACAGCATGGTTTAAAAGAAAAGAGAAAGAACAACTAGTAAAGCTAGGCAAAGAGCAAACCAGATCAAAGAAACAGCAGGGCAGCTGTGCACAGTGGTGCATGGCCATAATCCAGAGACTCAAAGGCTACCACAGAACAATCACAAGTTCAAGGCCAGCCTGGGTAATGAAGCCAGACACTGTCTCAAAATGAAAAATAAAAAGGGCTGGAGATGTAGCTTAGTGGTACCATATGCCTGGGTTTAATCTCCAATGCTATTAAGAAAAAAAAAAAAAAGAGCTGGTTACATAGCGGGAGAAGCTAGAACAAATCTGTTGTCGGGGTTTGTGCAAAGGTGGCAAAAACTACATAAACTGGCTCTTCTTGCTCCACAGTGCACACACAGAGTGAAGTGAAGGGCTAGCACCACTACCTGAATAGCATCAGTATCCTCAAGGAGCAATGATAACTAGGCAGAGCACCTGCCACTACAAAGCTTATCGGGGAACCAAAATGGCAAGCTACGAGGAGGCAATGAAGACAAACCCATATGATTCCAGCACGGAGTGAGAAGTCCATGAAAGGATGCTTGCCTGATCCCAAGTGATCAAAGCTACCTATCTAAAGTACCACAGAATTTACTCCATAGATAATGGAGTGGTGTTACATTCTCCTGTACAGTACTCTAAACTGCAAGTGTAACACAAGCTGACACCACAACACACATTAATTTTAGGCTTTTAACAGAGGTAGGTAGAACCTACAAAGTGAAAACTGAAAACAATGGTACAGGACGACCTGAGCAAATCACCTGACTTAATACTGAGTAAAAAGCAGCCCACAGGGGGCTGGGGTTGTGACTCATCGGTAGAGAGTTTGTCTTGCACGTGTGAGGCACTGGTTTTGATCCTTAGCATCACATAAAAATAAATGAATAAATAAAATAAAGATATTGTGGGAAAAAAATAAATGAATAAACAAAATAAAGGTATAAAAAATAAATAAATAAGGCAGCCCACAAACCACCTACATTGATTAGGGAATACAAACTGACAAATAAAGGGTTTTGTTTTTGTTGTACAAGCAATTAAATCCAGGATCATGTGCAAGCTAGGTAAAGGCTCTACCACTAAGCTTCATCCCCATCCCAAACTTTTTAAAATTTATTTCTGAGTCAGTCTAAGTTGCCCAGCCTGGCAACTTAAGATTAACTTGATTAATTGATTAACCTAAGGCCACACTACTCACGGAGCCAGGTTGAACTGGGTTTCCTCTTACTGTTCTTTCTTTAAATAAGGCAAAATCAACAGTTTTTCAAGTACATAATCTACAAAAGAGCTCACAATATGAGAAAGACTGAAGGATAGTCTGCCTTCAAGCCTGAACAACAAACTTAGTGTGGACAAACAAATAACCCAGAGTAGCCAATAGTTCCCTGCTGTTAGTATAAAAGTCAATTTCATCTGCAGGCAGCCAGGTATGGCAGTGGATAAAGCTGCCCATAATCCACCCAAGGAGCCTAATGTGAGATGGAACAGCAATGTTGATTCATGGTTCCAGAAATGAGGGCTTGAGGAAATATGCACATACTACATTTTAAAAAACCTGCCATGCACCCCCGTTATCCCAGCCACTTGGGAGGCTGACACAGGAGGATTGTAGGTTCAAAGCTAGCGTCAGCAACAGTGAGGCGCTAAGCAACTCAGTGAGACCCTGTCTCTAAATACAAAAAATAGAGCTGGGATGTGGCTCGGTAGTTGAGTGCCCCTGAGTTCAATCCCTGATAACCCCCCCTCCAAAAAAAAAAAAAAATCCAAAGACAAATGAACATAAGGAAATTTTTTAAGCTCAAAGGAATGCTGGGCTCAGGTGGCATTAACTCTTTGCTCTCACATCATACATGTATGCATCTGTAGTTATCTGTATAGCACTGGTTAACAAATTATGCTTATACAGCTACACAATTTAATTTCTCTTGATGATTCAGTTATCAAGGTAGAGAAATACACAGGAAAAATCAGAAAATACTTCCATGAAATGCCTAAATGAGAGTTTTGGGTTTTTGTTTGGTGGTGCTAGGGACTGAATCCAGGGCCTTGCAATGTAGGTAAGCACTCTACCACTGAGCTATATCCCCAGACCTAGGKTTTTTTGTTTTTGTTTTTGTTTTAAGAGAATTTTAATATTTATTTTTTAGTTTTCGGCAGACACAACATCTTTGTTTGTATGTGGTGCTGAGGATAGAACCCGGGCCACAAGCATGCCAGGTGAGTGCACTACCGCTTGAGCCACATCCCCAGTCCCCCAGACCTAGGTTTTGATATGTAAAAGGTTAAATGCTTACTACATGAAACATTCCTTAAAGGAATCACATAGCCAAAGTTTTACTGTACTGAATATAGCATGCCTTATAAGTGAGCTCTAAGTTTGGGGGCCCTCAGGCTACTTAGCCCAGCGTCTGCCCTTGCCAGTTTTTGTAGTGGATATTTATGGGCAAAGCCTAAACAATGGAACTCACAGTACTGAATTTGATGCCAGACTATAAATACCAGCCATCACAATGCCTATAAGCTGCATGTTTAAGACATTATTGAGCCCATTAATTCCAGAGATTTAGGAGGCTGAGGCAGGAGGATCAAAAGTTTGAGGTCAGTCTTAGCAAGTTGGGGAGGCCGTCTCAGAATCAAAAATATATTTTAAAAAGGGCTGGGAATGTAGCTCAGTGGCAAAGTACCTCTGGGTTTAATCCCCAGTACTGGGAAAACAACAACAAGGGGCTGAGATGTGGCTCATGCATGTAAGGTATGCATAAGACCCTGGGTTCCATTCCCAGGACCCGTCTCACACACACACACAAAGCCTATTGAACAAGAAAGCAATTGATTTAAGTCAGTTTAAACTGTGACTTAAATGAACAACAATTACATATCACTTTCTTTCTCTAGAGAGGTTTGTAGGGATCAGATATTTGCTACATATGAAAACAGGCTATTCAACAAACAGAAGCAGCATTAGCCTGTGAAAATTAGTATACTAACTGATCTTTTCTTAAGTAAAGCATAAGGAGAAGCAAAAAGAAATAACCTGCTGGAAAATGCATTCATGTTTTCTACTGCTGTTTCCATTACAATATTTTCCTCCTGCAGTGTCATACCTCAGGAACACAGCTCCAGGGCATTCTCGGGCATGTCCATTATGCAACTGCTATCCTGCTTCAGGGAAGCAAGATCTTATCTGCCTGCAGCATTAAAATGCAGGTCTATCCGAAAGAATTCTCACCACTCACAAAATACAAGTAGAAGAAGGCACTTATGCTTCAGTGAACTACCGGGCTGCACTGTAAAGGAGTCATTTTCTCTCTAGAATAAAGCTAGGGAAAAGGGAAGATCTCATTTATGTTGTCTTAAAGGAGAATTAAACTAGAGGAATTTATTTGCTGATTAAAATAAAAGTTTTGTTTTGTTTTAATGGGAAGTAGGAAGGTCAGGAGAGAGAGCTCCCTGCATAATGACAGCATTATTCCCTAGAAACTACTTGGAAGACACTGGGTAACCTAATTCCAGTTAATGTCTTGACTCCTAACATCTGACATTATTTTCAGTTGGTTCCACTTGGCAGTTAAGGAGAAATTTCTCTTTCGTACCAAAGCAAATGTCAAAGAATAGGGTAATCTCATTTGTGCACTAAGCCTTTAATAAGCAAATAGTAAGATTCAAAATCCCCAAAGAACCGACCACTTCATATTCAATATTCAGTAAGTGGGAGGTCTCATTTCTCCTTCCCACAGAGCCTCCTATTTCCCATCATGCTCCAAACAGAGCCTGCACACTACAGCAGTCCTGATGCTTATTTGTGAGAAAATTCATGAATGAAGATGCCTTCTGCATAGGGCTTCACCTAGGTCCTAAGTAAAACTTCAAAGTCAATTTTATCAACAGCAGAAGTCACCCTGCAGCCTATAACCTTGAATGGAAAGACTTTTCACTCGCTCCTCAGTTGCCAGGCATTTCAGAACTTCATACACTTTCTGAGGAAGAAACTAGCTCATTTTCTCACTCCCCCCCACCCCCTCCCCCGCAAGATTTAAAGGTAAGTATTTTTAAAGTTAGAGTACAAGGGACGATACAGTCATTTAATATGTACTGAGATTCTTAATCATGAACAGTAATCAGTAGAATGCACAATTAGATCAAGGTCTAGTGGAATGAGCTTTGAAGTTTCATTTCTGCTTTTCAACAAGTGAGGACAGTAAGTAAAAGGCAACAGCTTAACTGTTAATAAAGAAAGCCTGGCTCAGTGGCGCATACCTGATATCCCAGCGGCTCAAGAGTCTGAGGCAGGAGGATCAGAAGTTCAAAGCCAGCCTCAGCAACTTAGTGAGGCCTTAAGCAACTCAGCGAAACCCTATCTCTAAATAAAATATTTTATTTAAAGGGGGCTGGGAATTTGACTCAGTGGTTAATCCCCGGTACCAAAAAAATAAATAAGCTTAAAAAAAATAAATACACACTGAACATTTCTATATAATAAGCTGCATAATTAGCACATATCCACACAAAACACATTGGATATGGACTTTAAATGTTATATTTACTCACTTTTTAAAAAAACTTTTTTAGGTATAGATGGACACATTACTTTTATTTTATTTACTTATTTTTATGTGGTGCTAAGGATCAAACCCAGTACCTCACATGTGCTAGGCAAGCGCTCTACTACTGAGCCACAACCCCAGCCCCTTTACTCACTTTTTGAAGTGAGTAAAACACCAAGGGAAAAGGTGGAATGACCAAGAAGGAAAAAGCTGAAACCCTTTTTTCATATAAAACTTTTTCAGCCTCACCTAAAATGAAAATGAAATATCTGACATCTTAAATTATTAAGTTTAATTCACTTGTAGTGGTAAAGAGCCTTTTAATCACCAGTCCAAGTGTCACTGTTCAACTGTCYCTGAATGAGCAGCAGTCCTGGGAACACTGGGCAAAGATGAAGAGTACCAATACTGGCTGCACGGCTCCAATCTGCCAGATGAAAGACCACTCTTGAAGATATGGATCAAACTATCTTCCTGGAGGTACCAAGTTGGGAAGCAAAAACAGTTTTATGTCTTAATGTCATCTGATGGATGGCAGAATTCCTGGTAACCTGTATCAGCACCATGGGTGACAACTGTCTGCTCTCATCGTAGTCATTGAAGGGAAAGGAAGAATCTCTGAGTGGTAGGCTTTGCTCTGACGTTGACATTCGTGGAGAGAGACACAACACAAAGCTGGGTGCCATGGGCAAGTAACCTACATACAGGGCACCACGGCCTTGAGTCCATATGCACCAGCACAGGAAGAAAGGCCTTCCTCTATGGTAACCAGAGGGTGTCAAGCTTTCTGAGAGCTTTCAGAGGACACAATTTCATGTGCATCTGTTATGGCTTAGATGTGTCCCCCATAAGAAAGCTTAGAGATAAAATGACTGGGTTATGAGAGCCTTAACCGAATTAGTGCATTAATCCACTTGAATGGATTAAATGGGTGGGAGCTGTGGGCGGGTGGAGTGAGACTGAGAAGGCAGGTCACTGGGGACATGACTTTCGGGCACCCTCCCGACTGCTTTCTTCCACAAGCTCTTATGCCTTGATTGATTGATAGATTGATTGATTTTGGTATCAGGGATTGAACCCAGGGTCCCTTAACATATCACCAGCCCTTTTAATTTTGAAACAGGTCTTACTGAGTTGCTTAGAGCCTCCCTATGTTGCTAAGGCTGACTTCAAACCTCCTGCCTCAGCTTTCCAAGCCACTGGGATTACAGGTGGGTACAATCAAGCCCTATGATGCCATAATGTTTTGCCTCATCTCGGGCTGTCTATGCACTGAAAACTATGAAACCACGACACAAAAAAAACCTTTTAACTCCTCTAAAATTGTTCTTGTTGGGTATTTTGATCATGGGGTAAAAAAGCTAACTAAACAGAATATGAATAAACCTAGTACAGCTACATGAATGTCCAACTCTCCTTAATTTCATATTAAATTTACTAATAGAATAATGGCTCTACACAAAATCCCCTCATCAAATGAAACCAAATGTTTCCAGCTATCGCACTTAAAACTACTTTATAACTAACAATTTCATTGTGACTTATAAACTATCTCAAAGTTAATGTACATATCTACTTATCAGTTAGTTCATGTAACAGCTTTGTCTGGCCAGGTCAGACTCAAACATTTTGGTGAAAAGAGATTAACAGAAAATACAAAATTCTGTTTTCAGGATACCTCTAAGAATTAAAAGTTCTTCATGTGCTAAGCCAAAAATCTCAGTGAGTTTCAGTTCTAGTTCTGCCTTGGGGAGCTACACAGATGGCCTGCCTTTCACTAGTCTGAGTGTTTACATACCTTTAGACGTTCAATGGCTTCCTCTCCTCCAGGTGTAGACATGATCCTCTCCTGAATGCTGGTCACAGATGTTAAGCCCACCTGACTACTGAGTGAGCAGGAAGATGGAGATGACGTAAGGGAGCCCATGGATGCTGTGGAAAAATTGCCAGGGCGTTGATTCTCAGAGGCTAGCAAGTATCTATGTTTATTGTTCTGAAAATCTTTCAGATCTGGGAGATAAAAAGAAGGAAAGACAGAAAAAGAAAAGAGGGAAAGGAACAGAAGAAGGAAAAAAAGATAGGAAGGAACACCAGTGTAAGAAAGGATAGCATTACAGCGCAAGACAAAGACATGTTTTAATACAAAGACAAGTTACAATCGTTCTAGATGGCAGTTCTAAAACATGGCTCTTTAATATTGGTATCCTAGAGGTTAACAATCTCTTCTGGATTTAGAAACTAAAAATCCCAAGGTGGGTTAGCGTTTTATCTGGCAGGAGGTAAACAAAGCCTCAAAGGCACTCTATCAAAACAGCTAAAGAATATTTCTTGTATTCTTTCTACTGTTCCACATCTACAATGCCTTCACATTTATACTACCTTGAAATTCCATGACTTTGTAACAGTAAGGATAACAATGATCATTTATTTATCAATAATAATCCATATTAACCTGGTTAGAGTTTTGTGGAATTGTCAAAATTTTTCCAAAAAATGTAAAGAGTTAAAAGAAAATTCTGAGCACTAAGCAGTGTATTTGTATAACATTTCAATATGCCAAAAAAAGATTTTTAAAATGTCTTAAATCAAAAAAAAAGGTAACTGTATAAATGAGAGGAATTTTAAGTCTAGCTAAGAATACAGAACTGAATGCTTGCCCCAACAGGGAAAGGCAATTAACAAATTAATAAGTTCTGTTGTAGTTTCCATATTTCTATCATGGCAAACAAAAAAATAAGACTGATTATTTGTTAATTTAAGTAAGGCCTTTACTGTGCATAATAGTACGACCATAGGGTTACTGGTAAGTAAGCCTGCTTTCTAGTTTGATATATAAGTTTTAGGAAAATATTTTATTTATGAAGGTGTCCAACAACTATAAATTTAGTTCTGAAACTTATTTTTGGTTAAAAAAAAAAAAAAGACACACAAAACAAAGTTCATTAATTCACTTATTTGTGCTTTCCTCCATTAGTCATTTTCCCCAAATGAACACCAGAGGAAAACTGTAGGTACTGGCACACTCCTATTTTAAAATTAGCTCATTTTTAAAGTTAAGAAAATCTACATTGCTTAAAATTCATACCGAAACTAAATTTTCCTTAAAGGATATGAGGCAATACAATTAAAAAAACACTATTCAATTCTCTCTGTTTTTACTATTTAATCAAAAGCCAGTTCTTGAAGCCCCTCAAAGCGTGTGGTTGCTTCAAGACAGTTTGAAAACCACCATCTGCAAATATAGAAGAACATAGGGAAACAAGCAAAGAGGCATGTTTTAAAAGGAAGATAGGAACTAAAGCAAAAAATTCAGCCACCAGGTGATGGTAGCAAGGTGGGAAAGAGGAAGATGGATAAGTTTAGAAGGTCCCATGGACACATGCAAGCCCTAAAAGGAGTTAAGTAGATCCAAATGGAAACTGAGAAGTAGTCAGGACTGCTTTTCTTTGCAGTTAAGGAATTCAAACTTAGTCATGCATGATTTTCAGGAAATGCCACAGCTGCTCAGAGAAGAGATAGGCACCAAGCTGGCAGCAGCAACACCTCAAGCATAAGAGCAAAAACAAAAAGGCATCCTTTCCACACCAGTATGGTTCACCTTTGGAAATCTCAGACAGAGCTGTTCCAGTCCAAGAGTCACATGTGTATCAGGACAATTAAAGGTCTGGGGGGCTAACCAATCACAACAACTAGGGCTATATTCCAGTTCTCCTGATTGTGTGACATGCTTTACTGCACAACTAAATCAATAAGAATCCAAAAATTAAACCCCAAAACAAGGTTCTTCACATCTTTGTGCATGTGTGTCTATGTGAGCACTGGGGATTGAACCCAAAGGTGCTTTACCACTGAGTCACATCCTCAGCCCTTTTTATTTTAAGTCACTAAATTGTTTAGGGCCCCACTAAGTTGCTGAGGCTGGCCTCAAACTCGGTGATGCTTCTGCTTCACCTCTAGAGTCCCTGGGATGACAGATGTGTACCACTGCACCTGGCTATTCTTTAAATCTTGTAAGATAACAAAGCTTACGTGAATTTTAAAAGGGTAAGCAATCATTTCCTCATTAGCTCAGGGCTACCCGTGGAGAGAGTGACCTGTTCTGTCATTTCACACATATGGACTCTTCATTAATCTGTAATTTTAAAATGAGGAAAAACGTTTATTCAACCTTTGAGTAAAGTGAGGTTCAAGATATGAAAACACAACTGCAAAAGCATAGGGTGAGTGCTAACCCAACTTTCATAGAGAGCTCCTCAGAGAGTTTGGCCAGGTGGAAGTGATTTTTTAATTCTAAAAGTCTTATATTTACAACACTAATTAAAAAGGACTTCTTCATTAAATAATCAACTCAAGAGGCAAAAATAAATAAATAAAACCCAACAACAACAACAAAAACCAGTATAATGATTAAAAGTCAAGGGCTCTGAGTTATACTACCAAACTGATCATACAAGAAACATGAGGTCTAAGGAAACTAACTACTCCAGGTTACTGGCAAAATGAGAATAACGGAACTTTTTCAGAGTCAGTGACAGAACTGAGATAATATGTTTAAGGTGTCTAGAACAGGGCCAGGTACATTATAGACTTATATCAAAAAATGTGAGCTACCCTATTTGATTCAAATATATGATATGTCAAGATCATTGTACTGTCATGAGCAACTAATAAAATAAAAAAGTAAAAAATTTTTTTAAAAAAGTGAGCTCCTATCACTATCCTCATAATCTATGATTTGGGACTTAATCACATAGGGGTAGGGATCTAAAAAGTAGAACAGTAAGAAATTCTTATGCCTTCACTCAAGCTAAAAAATTGAAGTTCATCAAAGATAGCTTTGCTAAATGAAAAAAGGGCAAACAGGAGAACTTCTGATTCCACAGGATGCTCCGTCTGGGATTTCCTGTTAGGATCACTGGCATGCAAAGCTCATTTTTAAGGCTGATCCAGCAGAGGCAGATTAGCAACTCAGCATACTGGGAATAACCAATACATCAAATACACACATTTGCCTCCACTTCCAGAGTAATCATCGATCAATGGATCAACTGAAGGTAAGCAGGAGGGAAAATACAAGAAGGGTCAAAGTTCAAGTTCAGCAGTGACAAGAGAGGAACAGAGCAATAATCGGCATTGGGAAGATAAAAAAAGTTAATACTTAGATTATCATTTTTACAAATTATATTAATTAACTTGAGCTCTAACCAGTAAGAACTAAACTAAAACAGGCCTTGAAAATCTATTAGAATTTCAAAGATATAATAGTAATTTTACACTGAAAAATATGCTTTATTAAACAAACATTCTATTTTATCTAAATAATCTATTTTACATACTTAAGAGAACATTTTGAAATGTTGGATACGAAACCCAGGGCCTTGCACATGCTAGGCAAGTGCTCTACCACTGAGCTAAATCCCTAGCCCTTACTAAAAACAACTTCTGCAGGGTGAGGTGACACATGCCTGTAATCCCAGCAACCCAGGAGTCTGAAACAGGAATATTGCAAGTTGGAGGCTGGCCTTAGCAACTTATGGACACTGTCAACAATTTGGTGAGACCATGCCTCAAAATGAAAAAATAAAAAAAGCTTGGAATGTAGCTCAATGGTAATGTGTTCCTGGTTTCAATCCCCAATGCCAGATAAACCCATGAAACAAATATAAAAACCTCCAAAAACTTTTTTTTTGGAGGAGGGGTTAGAGGGATACCAGGCATTGAACCCAAGGATGCCCTACCACTGAGCTACAACCCTATCCATTCTTATTTATTTATTTATCTTTTAGTTTTGAGACAGTGTCTCACTAAGTTGTTGAGGCTGGTTGTGATCCAAACTGTGATCTTCCTGCCTCAGCTCCCAAATTGCTGGGAGATATATATCACTATGCCCAGCTCCAATAAATATTTTTATAAATTAACTCAGTGAAATTAAGCTTTACATTAAAAAAAAAATCAATCAATCCGTCAATCCATGGATAGCCTGGCACATACTATATAAAGGAATTCTGAGATCATATTCATTATTTTTCTTTTCTTGAACTGGAGTTCTTTCTATGTTGCCCAGACTGTCTGAAACCTTTAGCTCAAGCAATTTTCCCCACTTCATCCTCCAGAGTAGCTGGGATTACAGATATGCACGACTGCACCTGGCTCACTGGATCTTTTTAAGAAAAAATACACATCAAACCACTTTTAGCACAATCTAGTGACCAAGTTCCTTAAATCTAAGTTTATTTTAAATATAAAGACCTAACGTTTATTTTAAATATATATTTTATGTTGTTCCTTAATTTACTTACTATCAATAATATCTCCCAGCCCCTGGGCACGTAGAAGGTCCTTCAGCCGTGTCACTTCCTCCTTTAATTCACGAACCAGTTTGGCATTGGGGTCCTCATTGATAACAGCATTGCATTTAATTTGTTTTGCACGATCTGCATATCTAGATTCAAGAAGAAAATTCATTCTTGCCATTTCTCAGGTATTCTTCTTCATAAAAGTAACATACCATTACTTCTAAGTCAAACATCCTGAGTATTTATATATTTTATATGCCCCAATAATATATTTATATAAAGCTTTACAGTACCTTATAAAGATGAAAAAGGCTCAGATGAATTTAAGTGATTTTCCCAAGATAACAAAATAAATAAATAGCAGAGAGAATGCAAACCCAGTTTGTTAGATTATAGAGTATTTTTTCACTTCTTTTACTATACCAAGGTATCTTCCTTTGGTGGGGGGGGGGGCACCGAGGGTGGTACTAGGATTGAATCCGAGGTGCTCTACCATTGAGCTACATCCCCAGACTTTTATATTTTGTTTTGAGATAGATAGGGTCTTGCTAAATTGTCCTGTCTTCAGCCTCCTGAGTCACTGGAATTACAGATGTGTGCCCCTGCACCCAGTTTCAAAAGTTTTTTTTGTTTTTTGTTTTGTTTTTTAATGATTACAAACTCAAGAAGACAGAGAGTTCCAGATGAAAGTAATAAAACCCATTCACATGCAAATATTTTCGGTTAAGTGAACATTCTGTGGGTAAATTATTTATTTTTTAATTTTTTTATAGTATGGGAGCTTGAACCTAGAGAGCCTTATGCATGCTAGGAAAATGCCCTGACACAGAGATACAATCCCAACCTTTTTCACTTTGAGACAGGATCTGGCTAAAGTACCCAGGTTGGCCTTGAACTTGCAATCCTCCTACCTCAGCCTCCTGAGTAATTGAGATTACAGGTGTGCACCACTATACCTGGCTTGATAAAGTTTTTTTAATGCCACATGTACTCATAATTGCATTTCATAATTTTTACAACTTGAGCATTTCCATAAAGATAGAAGCTGTATTCACAGAAGGGAATACTTTTTAAAGAAATGAATAAGAAATATTTATTATTATATAGAAGTTGTTCAAAACTCTCATTTGAGCAATTTGAATATCTTTCCTTGAAAAAGTTCCTGACTTTCCCAATGAACTGCCAACCATAGACAGGTAAATTCCATTATTATAAAAATCACTCCCCCGCATATATTCCCTGTTAAGAGAGAAAGGGGGGCTGGGGTTGTGGCTCAGTGATAGAGCACTCGCCTAGCACATGTGAGAAGGCCCTGGGTTCAATCCTCAGCACCACATAAAAATAAATAAGTAAAATAAAGGTATTGTGTCTAACTACAACTAAAAAATAAATATTAAAAAAAGAGAGAGAGAAAGGGATCACTGTTTACACAAATGACTATCAATGCAGCATAAGAAAAAATCCATGGTATAACAAAATGACTGAAAGCGGGTCTACTTGGGAAGTAAGGTCAAATGAGAGTACCTCAGAGTGCTCAAAGTTTCATCATAGTTGATATCTGCTGGGCTAAGAGCAGCAACCATTGCAGTCCGAGAATTGCCACCTAAGAAAATGAATCAGATCTCAAATTATACTCATTTAGAAAGAATGTTATTGAATGTATCAAATCTAACAACTTTAACTCATATCCTAATATTTATCAAAGGCCAACAACTTTCTTAAATACCAGTCCCCATTCCAGGCACTGTTATACTCAACTACTGGTCTATGAATCTACTGGGTCCAGGTCTTGTTCTCTCACTCTCTCTAGAATCTACTACAGTCAAGATAGCCACTCCATTAAAACTGGTGTTAGCAATGGGAAAGTCACTGCCTGGGGATCAGCCCAGTCTCTTTCTTCAGTCATCAACATCTGACATGGCTAATCTTTCCTTCTTCCTGAGAAGAAGGAGCAGTGAATGAAAAGCAGGACTGGAAAGTCAAGAAGTATCAGCAATAAGGAGAAGTAAGAGTTGGCAACATCTGATTATGGGCACCTCAGAGGAACATGAGGTTTGGAAAGAACTTTTGAGAAAGAAGCAAAAGTCTGAAGAAGCTATAGGGGATCAGGAGGATAATGCTTCACAGTTCATACTCTGAAATAAATGAAATATGGGAGAACACCCAAATTTTAAAGTGAATATAATCAGCTGAAATGAGAAGCAAAGATGAAAAAAAGCAGAACATTCAATTAGTAACATGAATAACTAAAGAAGATTCTTCCCCAAAACAGACACAAAAAAATTAGCCAATACGTAAACAGATTTCAAAAGATATCTATGAAATGAATTTGTGTCAGTAGTCAACATACCTAGATTTTCTCGAAGAAGCCAAGTGAGTACAGAATCCCTGTAAGGAATGAAATCAGTTTTCTTCTTCTTTTTACTCTATTGAAGAAAAAGGACTAGACTTAGTATTGTTTAGGGGAAAAATTCACTTGAAAGGCAATCAGTCTAAAATTCCCAAGCAAATCAAATTACAGATGAATTCTATCATTATTGAAATTTATCATTCACAGTTTTAATTCTTCATAATATCCAAAGCTCATGCAATTATTTTTTTCATTTTATATCTTAATTTTGAAATTTCTATTATAACAAACACAACAGTCAAGAGAGTGTATAATGAGTTACCAGATACCCACATGCAGCTTCAACCATTAACAATATTTTGCCATAATTATCTTTCAATTACTCTCCCAAATACTTTTTTATATTCCTGAAACATTTTGTAGTAAGATGTAGATATATCTAAACATTTCAGCAGATAAGGATGTTCTTTTACAGAGTATAATGACCAAGTTCAGAAAAATTTTAACATCAATCCAATGTTGTTATTTCATATGCTGCCCATATCTTGTCTGTTATAGGTCTCAGTGTTTAATGCAAACCCAGCATTTTACTCTAGGTACTTTAGGTACATATTTCTGACAGACAAGGACTTTAAAAAAAAAGATTATTATCACACTTGGCAAAATTAACAGTAATTCCTTACTACTACTGTCTTATATCCAGCTCTCAAACAATAAGATTTATTTTTACAGAGGTATAAATATGAATCCTGTGTGTTCCCAGTGCTGGGGATACCGGCRTTTAACACCGTGCCTGGCACCAGAGTCATTTTCATTAAGTAGGCTCAATTTAAAATTGCACAAGCCTCCTAGGATAAGTTAGCCTTTTAGTTCTTCACAGAATGATGAGTCAAACTTTTCCACTAAATGAAGAAATTTCATTTATTGCCCTTTCAAGAGGTTTATAGAACTGTCAAAAGATAGTCCTATAGATCACTAGAACAAACATAAGATAATCAATGTAAAAGCTTCCTCAAATTTCTCTTGTTCCTTTATTCTTAATTCCTTTTCCAAAAAAACATCATGTTCCTAAAGTAATTCTGCTGTGAAGTCTCATGATTTATGGTCACCCTAAACAGCCAGAAAAAAAATGATAAAAAGTTCTTTGAAGGTTCCATTCCATGCTTCTATATATTCTCTGAGGATTTAAAACCATGAGTTGATTCTATAGCTAGTTCATCTCTACCAATTCCCACCATACCTTGCTGGTGCAGTTATCCTATAGACGAAAGCATTTAAGGGAGAGAACAAGAACACAGGATAAACCTCAAACAAAAAAATAGTGAAGTCATAGATTATGACTTCTCAGACACAGATAAGAAAACATTTAATTCTACTTAAACAATTTAAATGAGATTATTAGTGTACATCAGAGCACACATGATGAATACTTCCTTGGCTTCTAACCTAAATAATAAAGACGATTATATAAAAATTGTGTTAGCTCTTATGTTCCACTGTTAAGGAACAGGAAAGAATGAAGTTACAGTCATGTCCATGTGTGGTGGCACACACCTGTAATCCCTGTAACTTGGGAGGCTAAGGCAGAAATATTGCAAGTTCAAGGTCAGCTTCAGAAACACAGTAAGACCCTAAAGCAACTTAGCAAAACCCTGTTTCAAAAAAATAAATAAACGAACAAATAAATAAATAAATAGAAAGGAAGGGGGAGAGAGAGAGAGAGAGAGGCAGGAAACTGGGGATATAGCTAAGTGGTAAAGAAACCTCAGTTCAATCCTCAATACTAGGGGGAAAAGAAAAAAGAAAGAGAAAGGCAGAAAGGAAGACAGGAAGGGAAATTACACTTCTGTGCTAAATAATGGCATTTCAGTCCATGTACAGACTGCATATATGATGCTACTCCCATAAAACTATAATAGTGCTGAAAAATTCCTAGGTGGTAGTACAACTACTGCTCACTTGTTTAAAACTTATTACACTATCAGCTGTATAAAAACACAGCATATACAATTAAGTACATAAGTGTCTGGTTTAATATTTACCATACTCTACTTTTTTTCTATTATTTTAGAGCATTCTCTACTTCCTAAAAAGAGTTTACTGTAAAATAGTATGCCATATGTCAGTAGCAGCCTCATGCATCTTGTGTTTACCTTGTCCACTGATTGCACCATTCTCTTGTGCTTGATTTAATCCCATGCTGTTCTGTTCATCACAGTTGTAGGAGCAGTAGGCTCTACCAAAGCCAAGTTGTATAACTGTATACTATCAGGATTGTGTGAACATACTGTATGACACACCCACAATATCAAAACTGCCTAATGATGAATTTTCCAAAGCATACACTCCTTGTTAAGTGATGTATGACTGTGTTTTATTTTTATTTTTCACTTTTGTAGTGCTAGGGAACGAACCCAGGGCTTCACACATGTCAGGCAAGCACTCTACCTGAGCTACATCCCCAGTATTCTATCGAGAAAAAAACTGCACAGGAAAAGGACATACAATAAATATACTTTTTTTTTTTTTTGGTGAGACATAAAATAAAGCTCAAAAAATTAGTCAAACCTTTGATTTTTTTGCTCTAGCCTTTATACATCTACATGTGCTTTCATTCTATGTTCAGCACAGACTCAAACTGTGTCAGACCTTCTGTCTTACCTGAAAAGTTCTAAAAGGAGAAAGGCAAGACTACATAATAGGGTCAAAACACAGCAGCCTTTGTAAACAAGCATAAAGTAACATCAAGTCTACCTGCTGTACAAACAATTTCCCCTTAATAAAAAATGAAGTAGTGGGGGATGTAGCTCAGTGGTGGAGAGCTTGCCTTGCACATGTGAGGCACTGGGTTCAATCCTTGGCACCACATATGAATACAGGTATTGAGTCTATCTACAACTAATACATATATTAGTTGTAAAATATTATTTTAAAAAAATGAAGTATAAAACTTACCACCTCTGCCAAGGCTGAAATGACTTTGCCCAAAGTTGTAAGAGACTTATTAATATTTGCTCCTTCCTAAAATAAACATCAAACATGAAAGAATTAGGATGAAGAGTTTCTACTACTGTCACATCATTCATATAGAAGATAAGCTTGCCATATGCTAGCATATTTGTTGATGTCCATAAGTTCTAAAATTTCCTTTAGTCCTCAGTAACTTCTCCTCACACTTAATACCATGCTGAGGCCACATACCTACCTCATAGTTCCAAGAATTTTCCAGATATTTGTATCCCTAAACCTTACAGATGCAGCCTTCTTTCCACAAATCACCAACGTAAAATTTCTGGTCTTGTTAAACAATCTTTTGTTCTCATATCTGGATCTTGTATATCCTATTCCCATTACTGTCTTACTTCTAACTAGTCAAAATCTGCCTGTTTCCCAAACTGCAATTCAGATCTCACTCGACCATTATGTCTTCCCTAACTATTTTGTTATCCAACTTAACCTTTCTTTGAAGTCAAAAGATCCTCAGCTGGTCAAAATTTTCTATAAAGGGTCAAACATAAGTTTGTGGGTCATGTAATATCTGTCGCAACTCTGCAAAAGCATCCAAAGACAACACATCAACTGATGGATGAGCTATATTTCAATACAATTTTCTTTACAAAACAGGTGGTGAGCTGGATTTGTCCCACTGGCCATAGTCTGCTGACCTATGTTACAGAACACTGACAAGGCCACTTATTTGGTAAAATAGATACCTTTAATCGAGTTCCTTTGGCACCAGTTGAATCAGCTCGTTCACTTCCTGCGAGATCCACCAAGCTGATTTTACTAACCTAGTAAAGAACAGTAACATGGGGGCAATTCAAATAGAAGCAGAAAACATTTAAAGGCAGGAAATTCTTTTAAAGATTAAGGTATGAAGAAGATTAAAAATATTAGTGCTCTTAACCATGACTCAAGATGACAAAGACAACAATCATATATGAAAATCAGTTTAAGGAGCATATACATAAAGCTGGGGGTGTGACTCAACATCTGACCGCAAGCTCAGCACATACGTGCACAACACGTGCACGCACACACACAGAGCATAAAATTCATGGCAACTATCTTGGTTCTAAAGTAGTAAAATGACTGTGGCTTGGATGTAATCTGTCTCCCAAGGGTTCATATGCTGAAAACTTGATCCCCAATGTGGCAATATTAAGAGTGTGAAACCTTTGAGAAGTGGAACATAATGGGAAGTCCTTAGGTCTATGGGGGTGTTGCTCTTTGAAGAGATTAGGGAGGTCCTTGTGGGACCCCTGAGTGAGTTCTCAAGGGAGAGTTGTTATAAAAGGACAAGGCTAGCCACTCCCCAGCTTCTTTGGCTTCCTGTGGGAGATGTGATCTCTCCTTTTTATACCTGCTCCCACCATTGTGATGCCATTTGTCATAAGGTCCTCATCAGAGTCAAATTTGATGTGAGTGCCAATGCCCTGAACCTCCAAAACTATGAGTAAAACAAGCCACTTTCCACTTTCCTTTTCTTCTTCTTTTCCTCCCACTAGTATTGGGTAATGAACCCAGGGGCACTTTACCACCAAGCTACAACCCCAGCCCTTTTTATTTTTTTATTTTGATACAGGGACTTGCTAAGTTGCCAAGACTGGACTCAAGCTTGCAATCCGCCTACCTCAGCCTACTAAGTAATTGGGATTACAGGAGTGTACCACAATGCCCAGCAACCTCTTTTCTTTATTAAGTTACTCAGCCTCAGGTATTTTGTTATATTAACAAAAACTGAACCAGTTCATAACTTCAGGACAAACATGACATTTTACTATAGTACGTCAAAGTAATATATAAAACTCATTAGTGTAGTACTAAATGGTATGTTAAAAAAGAAGCTACAAGGAACCAGAACTCTCATATACTGTTGGTGGGAAAGTAAAATGTTATAGTCACTTTGAAAAGTAGTTTGGCAGTTTCTTAAGAAACTAAATACTCGGGCTGGGGATGTGGCTCAAGCGGTAGCATGCTTGCCTGGCATGCGTGCGGCCTGGGTTCGATCCTCAGCACCACATACCAACAAAGATGTTGTGTCCGCCGAGAAAATAAATAAATAAATATTTTTAAAAACACTCTCTCT